CCCCAGCCCATCCTCCCCGGCTGTGGGGTTGGGAGCCGCAGCAGGCACCACGTGGAAACCACTCGTCCTTCCCTCCCTCGACCCCAGGATGGGCGGCTGCTCCAGGAATTTAACAAGATCGAGCCCCCACTGATCTTCGAGTGTAACCAGGCATGCTCCTGCTGGAGAAACTGCAAGAACCGGGTGGTGCAGAGCGGCATCAAGTGAGGCCCCCCTGCAGCCCGCCCTCAGCCCGCCTCACCCCCGCGCCCTTCCACCTAACAGCAGCCTCTCTCCCGCCCCCCAGAGTGCGACTGCAGCTCTACCGAACAGCCAAGATGGGCTGGGGGGTCCGTGCCCTGCAGACCATCCCCCAGGGGACCTTCATCTGCGAGTGAGTAGGGGTCGGGTGCTGGGTGCCCACCCGCCACTGACTCTCCAATCTCCCTCTGCTCTCCTCCCTGACGGGCCCCACCCCTTCTCACCGCACCTCCCTGGCCAGACTGCACCTGCCCCCAGCCTGCCCAGACCGCAGAGCCTCCTGCCACCACCACCACATCGCCCCTTCCCTGCCTTTCCAAGCTGGGAGACAGACCTGGGTCTGAGCCGCACTCTGCCGCTGAGCGTCCTCGGCCAAGTTCTTAACCTCTCTGAGCCTCATTTCTCTGCTCTGCAAAATGGAGGTGATAAGACAACCTTTCCATCCACCTCCACTTTCTTTTCCCAGCATCTGTCACCCCCCTGTCCCCTGCCCGGCTCCTCCCCCATGGCTTGCAGACTTCATCTAGGCTTCCTTTGGCCCCATTACCCTATTTAAGGGACCATCCATTTTTTTTTTTTCTTTTTTTTTTAAGATTTTATTTATTTATTTGAGAGAGAGAAAACAAGTGGGGTGGGGGCAGAGGGAGAAGCAGGCTCCCCACTGAGCAGGGAGCCCGATGCAGGGCTTGATGTGGAACTCAATCCCAGGACTCTGGGATCATGACTTGAGCCGAAGGCAGATGCTTAACTGGGCCACCTTGGCACCCCCATTTCCTCTTTATTGGGTCATCTCTTCCTGCTCTGCAGGAAGCCTGCTTCTCCCTCTCCCACTCCCCCTGCTGTGTTCCTGTTCTCGCTATCTCTGTCTCTCTGTCAAATAAATAAATAAAAACCTTAAAAACCTAAATCTAAAAAAAAAAGAATAATTATTGGGTCATCTCTTGACTTGGTTCAAATGGCCCCTTCCTCCTGGACCTTGAGTTCCCCACCACGGGCTCACTGCTCATCCCGGCCGGAATCGGCCTCTGCCCTCACCCTTCGGCTGATGCCGCCTCTCGACAGCCTGCCCCCGCCCTGGGTCTTGGTCCTCGTTCCGGTGTCTGCTACCCGCCTTGCTCTGGCTCCCTCAGCGCTGTCCTCACCTGGACCCGCCCTTCCTTCCTCTTCACCACCTTTCCTTCCTCTGCTTTCTCAGGGTGGCTGTCCTTGTCCCCAGCGCCTTCCCAGAATCCCTCTTGGCCCCTGTGGCTCCACGCATTCTTGCAGGCCTGCCGTCCCGCCTGTCCTGCAGCCTGGCCTCGCCAGCATGGGCTCCTAGTACACTAAGCCTGCACGGATTGCCCCACCCAAACCAGCTGCCCACAGATACGGGTCCCCTTCGCCACAGGGGTTTGGCGTCTCCCTGCTCACTGATTGTTCCTCCGGCTCAGCTCAGGCCCTGCCCACCGGCCCCCAGCGTCCCCCACATATGCCAGTCCTGCCTGTTGTTCCAGCTGTCCAGCAGAGACCCCAGCTGGCTGCAGGAGGCCCTGTGTGTCCCCTCCCGTGTTGGTATCCCCTGTTCTTCCTCCTGCTCCTCACTCCGGCGGGGAGCTGCCCACCTCCCCCAGCCCGTGATGCCTGACGTCCGCTGTCCGGGCCCGCTCTGCCCTGGCTGCCCACCCCAGCCATGCAGATCTGTGGGATCCGTGGACGTGGAGCGGGGCAGCTGACAGATCGTGAAGGAGGATTCCGCGGGGTTGTGAGGAGGGACAGGGCCTGGAGCTGCCTCCCGATAACCCCCGCTCACCTTCAGAACCGCCACTTCCTGCCCTACAGGTATGTCGGGGAGCTGATCTCTGATGCCGAGGCTGATGTGAGAGAGGATGATTCCTACCTCTTCGACTTAGACAACAAGGTGAGCAGGAGACCCCTCTGTGCCTTGCAGCCAGGCAGCAGATGGAAACGTGGGAGGAGGGACTGGGGGTCCGTCCGTGGGTGGGGAGGTTGGCCAGGCAAGCAGGGTAGTGGGGGATGTGAAGTGCTGCCCTGCCCGCAGGATGGAGAGGTGTACTGCATCGATGCCCGTTACTATGGCAACATCAGCCGCTTCATCAACCACCTGTGTGACCCCAACATCATCCCCGTCCGGGTCTTCATGCTGCACCAAGACCTGCGCTTTCCACGCATTGCCTTCTTCAGTTCCCGAGACATCCGGACTGGGGAGGAGCTGGGGTGAGGTGTCTCTGGGGTGTGCCCGGGGCGTGGGAGATGCAGCGAGCCCGGGACCAGGTGCCGGAGGCTGGAGAGTGCCTGGGGTCTGGCATGGATTAGAGCCAAGCCTCTCAAGACAGTATGAATGGAGTCCTGGGCCTCGCAGATTTTGATTCAGTAGACTTGGGATGGAGCCCAGGATTCTGCACGTCTGACGAGCGCGCAGGCAGGGCTAGTGCGGCGGGTCCGTGCGCAGAGAAGGGCTGGGCGCCTGTCGGAGACCGTTGAGGGTGGGTGCTTTGGGGCAGGCCTGGGCTGCTGGCTCTGGATCCCGTAGCCTCCTGTCCTCCTCCGACAGGTTTGACTACGGTGACCGCTTCTGGGACATCAAAAGCAAATACTTCACATGTCAGTGTGGCTCTGAGAAATGCAAGCACTCCGCCGAGGCCATCGCCCTGGAACAGAGCCGCCTGGCGCGCCTAGACCCCCACCCCGAGCTGCTGCCCGAGCTCAGCTCCCTGCCCCCCGTCAATCCCTGAGAGCAGACCACACACGAATCCCACCCCCGGGTGGCCGCCCGCCAGCAGCCCCGTCGGCCACTTGCTGCTCACAGCCCACACCTTGGGGCGCTGCCATCTTCTCTCCCCTCCCCCTTCACACATTCCTTGGCCCGAGACCCCAGCCAGGCCCTGGAGGTCTGACAGCCCCTCTCTCCCAGAGCTGGTTCCTCCCTGGGAGGGTTAACTTCAGGGCTGGCCACTCCCTGTTCCCCATCCTCAGCTGAAGTTCGATGAATTGAAATTGGGCCTCTATGCCAGCTGGTATCCTTTGTTCTCAATAAATACTGGGTTTGGTAATAAACTGTCTTGATGATTGTTGGGGGGCCGGGGGCTTGGTCAGGGAGGAAACACACACAGCTAGAAGGAATGTGGGTCCAAGGGACCGAGCAGGATGGGAAGCAGGCTGGACAGGTGTGGCTGGTGTGGACAGCCACCCAAGGGGAGGGGAGGGTTGTGGGGAGACCACTGTGGACAGGGTCCAGTCAAGGGCTAAAAGGCAAATCTCAACACTTCATCTTCGGCAGGAGAGTGTAGGTGTGAGTGAACCACAGCTGAAGTAATTTGCAAAAACAGGAAGGATTTCCTTAAAGCCTGCCCTGGTCCATGGAGCCCGTGGCAAGCAGGCAAGCAGCCCTGAGCCGGTCCCAGGCTCGGCCTTCCAGGCCTCCAGCAGGGCACTGCCCTGGTGGAGTTGAGAAGGAGGAACCAGAGTGTGTCGGGACCACAGGCGGAGGTGGGGCTGTGACGTGTGGGAGGGCGGGGCGGGCGGCAGGTGAGTCGCTAGGTCTCCCTGGCTCCAATCACTCTGGAGACTGAACCATGGGGGGAAAACAGGACGGGGATGAGGCCTATGGTGAGTCTGAGGGCAAGGCTGGGGCAGAGGCCCAGGACCCTCGGAGGGAGGGGAGGCCAGGCTGGGCCTGCTCTCGGGGAGCGATGGCTGGGGCTGGCCCCAGGGAGAGGGGCTGAGGGGAGTCCTGAGTCCCTGAAGGGAGGGTGTGGAAAGAGCTGATGGAAGGAAGTAGAGTCAGGGTCCTGGGAGGAGGATTGGGTTCAGGGTCTGGGGGCCTTTGCCAGGGAGACTTTGGAGAGTGAAGCTGGGGAGCTGGGGCTGGAATCTGGGTCCCTCAGGGCAGGGCCCTGGGAAGCAAAGCCTGAATGGAAGAAGGCAGGGTCAGCGTCCTGAGCAGGAGGATGGGGCTCAGGGGCCGGGAGGGTCTATGTGCTGCAGAGCCCATGAAGGGTGAGGCTGGGGTCTGGGCCCCTGTCAGGAGGAACAGCTGGGGTCCCTGTAAGGAAGAGGAGTTTCAGTCTGGACCCTGGGTCTCTGAGGGAAAAACGGTGCTAGAAGTCTGCTTCCCAGGGTCTCTGAGCAGTGACAGCAGGAGTGGGGTGTGTTTGGGGGTCCTGTGAGGCGTTAGGGCTGTGGGCCTCTGTGGAGAGGGGGCCGGGTCCTGCCTCTGGGGTCTCTGTCAGGAGGGGAAGACTTCTCAGGGTACTATGAAAGATAGGGGCAGGGGCTTCACAAGGGCTTCCTGTGAAGGGTAAGGCAAGGGGAGAGGGAGCAGGGAGCCTATCTGCAGAATCTCCGTGAGGACGCAGGGCCAGGAGCCTGTCCCAGAGACCCCTAGGATTAGGGGTGGGGTGTTCTGAGACAAGAGGGAACTGGGACACCAGCCTCTGGGCTCCCTGTGAAGCAGTAAGGGCCACAGGCCTGCCTGCAGGGTCCCTTGGGGCTTAGAGGTCTGAGCTCCTGGTCTGAAGGGGAGGGAATCCCAAGGGAGGGGCCTCCCAGAGGCAAAGCTTGGGTTCCTAAGCAGGCTAGGACAAGGAACAGTAAGGCCTCCCCAGCAGACTTCCTGGAACAGCTTTGGGTCAATCATTGATCTCATGTGTGAGAGCCATGGAGGGACAGAGTCCAGAACACCTAAGGAGAAGGAATCTCACCCCTTCCCACACTCTTGCCCAACCCTCTGCCCTCCCTGCTCTGTGCCAACACAGGACCCTAGCTGCCTGGCCCCACCTCCTCCCTGTGTGTACTCAGGGAGGACCAGGAACAGGACATGGCCACAATCTAAACCGACCACAGTCTCAACCACCCGGCTCAGGTGTCACCCTGACTGCTCACCCAGAGACTGGCAGTGGCCTGGGGTCCCTTTGGGTGGGGAGGCCTTACAGGGGCCCCTCCCTGCCCAGGTCCTGCAGGAGTTAATGCCTTTGGCTCCAGTCTCTTTCTCTGCGGCCTTGGGCCAGAGGGTGGAGGTAGGACCTGGGGCAGCTGTGGGGAGGGGCTGTGACCTCCCTGAGGTGCTCTAGATTTGTGCCCACCCTGGCCTGGGCACAGGGAGGGGAGAGGGATAAGGACTGGGGTGGGAGAGCCACTGGGGTGGCTTGACTCAGAGTCCCACATCCCAGCCAGGGGGAGACACAGGAGAAATGGGCCAGGATGGGGGCAGGAGGCGAAGGCTATTTCCCTGGCTGCCAGCCTTGAGGTGTGAGCTGGAAACAACCTGTTAAGGCCCCCTTTTCCCCTCCCTCCAAAGCCAACTTGGTGGAGTTCACGGTGAGCAGTGAAGCTGCTGCCCATGCCTTAATCCTACCTCTCCTGCTCTCCAACTTCTCCCACCAGCTCTGCCCCTGTCCATCTCCCCCTGAACTCCTGAGGTCCAGGGAGGATCCTGGGCCAGGGTAGGATCACACTGCAAGGAAGGATGTGGGAGGGACAGGACATGGGAAGAGACATCCACTCAGGCTTCACTCTCCCTACTCCTCCCCGTGCCCTCAGGGAAGCCAGCCAAATATGACCCCACCTTCCGAGGTCCCATCAGGAACAGGTAAGTTCTGGGCACCTGCCCAACTAGGGGGTGGGGGTCTTCGTTTTGCATTGTATTTGCTGAAATATTGGTAATAAGTTTATAAAAAAGAAAACTCCTGCCCCAGGAAAGTGGTGCCCTTGGGTGAACTCTTCTGTCTGGGGCAGGCACAAGGGGCCTTCTGGGGTGCTGGTGAGGTTCTGTTTCTTGACCTGGAAGCTGGCTACACGGGTGTGTGCTGTTTGGGAAAATTCATCCAGTGGGGCACTTAGGAGTTGTTTACTTTTCTGGGTCATACTTCAGAAGTTTACTCACCCAAAAAACAGTTATTTGGGGTTTTTTTTGTCATCTCCCCCACACACACCTTCCTGAGGACAAATGGAAACAAGCGCTTCTTATTTATTCCCTGGTGCATTGTGAGAAAAAGGTTTTCTTAGAAAAATAAAATAAAACCTACCGGCACACCTTCTCCAGCATCCCCCGACTCTCCAACCCGTGACTCCTCCAAACCATGCGCCCCGCCTCCCCCTCCAAAGCCTCCCCCCACTTCTCTCCCAGGAGCTGCACAGACATCATCTGCTGTGTCCTCTTCCTTGTCTTCATTCTGGGTTACATCGTGGTGGGGATCGTGGGTGAGTTTCCAGCGGGCGCGGTGCTGGGGCGGTGGTGGGAGGCGGGGAGAGCAAAGACCATCCCCGAGGCTGCTCCCCATCCCCCAAGTCCCACTCTCTGGTGATTCAACTCTCCATCTGCTTCCAGCTTGGGTGTACGGAGACCCCCGGCAAGTCCTCTACCCCAGGAACTCTACCGGTGCCTACTGCGGGGTAGGGGCTAATGAGTGAGTACAAAGGCAGGAAGAGGGGCAGATCGGGACGCCTAGTGGGCTCAGTCATTAAGCGTCTGCCTTCGGCTCAGGTCATGATCCCGGGGTCCTGGGATTGAGCCCCACGTTGGGCTCCCTGCTCAGCGGGAAGCCTGCTTCTCCCTCTGCCCGTTGTTCCCCCTGCTTGTGCGCTCGCTCTCTGACAAATAAGTAAATAAAATCTTAAAAAAAAAAAAAAAGAGGGGCAGGCTCCCCAGCATGGTTCCAACACTCAGGCTCCAGATCCTTCCTCTGTTGCCCCCCGCCCGGGGGCCAAAGCCTCCCTGAGTTTCCTCAGGCGAGGCCACATTGAGCAGCCTCCATTTCTGAGCAGCTGGCTTCTGATGCCCTCCGAAAATGGGAGGCAGAGCCATGGTTAAGTGCATGGGTTTTAAAGTTCAGAATTTGGCGTTTGACTCCCCAACTGGGCTAAGTCAGTTCTGGTCGTATGGCCTTGGGCAAGGTAGTCAACCTCTCTGAGCTTTTGATTTCTTAATCTGAAACTCAGGGGGGATCCCTGAAACCATGCCATCAGTTCCGCCAGCAGGAAACTTTCAGTAAATAATAAAACCTTCCCAATGACATGGCGTTTACTACGTTCCAGGCAGATGGTGTACTTTGCACACACACACTCATTGAAACCCTACGAAGCAGGTCCTCTTACCTTACACCTGATGGGATTGAGGCAGTGGGCAGTTAAGTGACTTGCTCAAGGTCGTAAAACTCTTAGCCATTTGGTAGCAGCTTCGATGCTCAGTTACTCTGGGAAGTCTTCCGGGTGCCTCCTGTATCTTCCCAGCTGAACTGAGCTTCCTAAGGCCAGGAGCTGAGTGGTGTGCATCAGGGTATGGGCCCCACACACACTTCCACTGGGCCCACTGTATTCTTGAGCCAGGGCCCCGGCAGTCCTCCCCTTTCCCCACACCTGACCAGGTCCTGATGCCCACACTTCCTTCCCTCCCGCAGAGATAAACCGTATCTTCTGTACTTCAACATCTTCAGCTGCATTCTGGCCACCAACGTCATCGTGGTCGCTGAGAACGGCCTGCAGTGTCCCACACCCCAGGTCAGAGCCGAGGACCCACCTCTGCCCCGGTTGCCCCCAGGGTCCAGGTACCAGCCCCTCAGCACTCTCTCTGCCCCCAGGTGTGTGTGTCCTCCTGCCCCAAGGATGCATGGACGGTGGAAGCCAAGCAGCTCTCGCAGAAGGTTGGGGAGGTCTTCTACATGGCAGACAGGAACTTTTGCCTGCCAGGGGTGCCCTGGGATATGGTGAGAGCCACCTCCAGTGTCATCCCTGTGGCCAAGGAGGAGTCACCTGGGTGGGGGGACGGGGAGTTGGGTAGGTGACTATGGTGGGGGTGGGGGTGGGGGTGGTGCGGGGGGCTCCCTCCTTCATCCTGCTCTGTCTGTGTGTCTGTATGTCCTCCCCCAACCCCCAGCCAGTGACCCAAAGCCTGCAGCAGGAGCTCTGCCCCGGATTCCTCCTCCCTTCCACTCCAGGTGAGAAGCTGCATTCCTTCCTCGGGCAGCATCTAGTCCTGTATTCTTATTGCTCAAATGAGGAAACCAAGCCCAGAGAGAGTAAAGTCATGCAGCTTGTCTGGCCGAACTGGAATTAGCACCGGGTCTTCATTTTGCTCTCTGCATCTTGACCCTACCGTCTTGTGCACCTGCTGGGCACAGGCACCCAGGCGAGTCACAGGGCAGATGAAACTGCTCCCGGTTCGAGCTACATTTTAGGTGCAGAGATCAGAGATGTTGGCAAAGACACTGCATGAGCATCCCACAGAAACACAGCTGGGCAAATGTACCCACACACGTTAATGTCTGTGCACTGGGAGCAGACTGGATGTCCAGCCAGACTCACAAGCAAATGTGGCTGGGTACTGGGCTCGCAGTTGACTTTCTAATTTTTTCTATATGTTCTTCTTTCCAATAGTCAATGGTATTTTTTTTTCCCGCCCCCCCGTCAATGGTATTTTTAATAGGAAAAAATTTTTAATTATAGCATGAGAAAACAGCCAATTCTCAAATAAGTACAATAAAAAGATCTCAAGTGAATGCTCCAAACTCAGATCCAGATTCCAGCACTTTCCAGCTGTGTGGTCTTGGGCCAATTACTCAACCTCTCTGAGATTTGTTTCCTCATCTTTAGAATGTAAATGCCAAAGCCAGCTTGCCTGGCAAAGTCGTTGGAAGGGTGGAGATAAAGGATTCTGTAGGCACATAATAGGTGCTGAAGGAGTTGGGGAAGGGGTGAGAAGGCTTCCTGGAGGAGGTGACATGGAGATGGAGCTGAACAGGGAGTAATGGATGGGATTTCTGGAGGGAGAACACTCAGAGAGAGGCTCAGGGAGAGCAGAAGTAGAGGTGAGGGGAAAGTGGGCTGAGCTCCGATGGTGGGGCCTTGAAGCCTGGCCAGGGAGCGTGGGCACTCCAGGGCAGAGCTGCTGGAAGTGTCTGAGCAGCAGAATGCTCTAGAGCCCGGGAATGAGGAGGCATGGTCTCCCTGACTCTTGGGCAGAGGGGGGTTGAAGGGTGGAGTATAAGGGTGGGTGGAGGGTGGAATGTAAGAGTCAGGCCAGAGGAAATGCGGGTCTCCACCTGGCAGAGACAAGGACGGGAGGAAGTGGTCCTGAGAGACCGGGAAAGAAGCTGGCTGGGGCCCCGCGGGGCAGGAACTCCCTCTTGGCTATGGAGTCAAGAGCAGCTCTCTGGGTGGGGAGGGGGGGCAAAGCCCATCTCTCCTGCCTTCCCTAAGGCCACTCGGGTGCTGGGTGGAGGCCAGAGGCTTTCAAGGCAAAGCTCTGGGCCTGCCCACCCAGGAGCCCCGGTTTTCTCCCCCCAGCTCTGGGGCGTTGTCTTCCGCTGGCGAACAGCACTCCACCCGAACTCCCAGGGATCCCCAGCAACACCTCCATCTCCCACGGGATCAGGTGGGCATCCTCCTGCCCCCACACCTCTGTCCCGTACCCCTTCCCCCGCCAAGAGCCCCATCTGACTCTGCCCCCCCACCCCGCCGAAGCGGTGTTCTTGACAGCCTCAGTGCCCGTGACATCACTGTGAAGATTTTCGAAGATGTTGCCCAGTCCTGGCATTGGATTCTTGTGTGAGTCCCTGGTCCCCCTACTCTCTCCTTCCCTGCTGCCCTCCCTCCCCCTCCTCTGGCTCCTAGCCCAATGTCTGAAGCAGAAACTTTGGACAGAGGAGGAGGAGCCCGGAGCTCAGAACTGACCCCACACCCAACAAGATTTGTAAGAGAAAGGGGATCTAACCTGGGGACATGGGGAGTGTGAGGCATTCGGGAGCCTCGGAAAGGGAGAAGATTTAGGGGCCCAGGGATGACTCTCAACTACTTCACCCTGCCTGCAGCACCCTAGGTGTGGCTCTGGTCCTGAGCCTGCTGTTTATCCTGCTTCTGCGCCTGGTGGCCGGGCCGCTGGTGCTGGTGCTGATCCTCGGGGTGCTGGGCGTGCTGGCATACGGCATCTACCACTGCTGGGAGGAGTACCGAGTGCTGCGGGACAAGGGTGCCTCCATCAACCAGCTGGGCATCACCACCAACCTCGGCGCCTACCGCAACGTTCAGGAGACCTGGCTGGCTGCCTGTGAGTGCCCTGCCCGCTGCCGGACCACCAGCCGCCCAGGGGCTGGCCCGGCCCTTGCCGAGCCCCGGCCCTGACACAGGCCCCTCTGCTCCCTGTCCGCCCCCAGTGATCGTGCTGGCTGTGCTTGAAGGCATCCTGCTGTTGCTGCTGATCTTCCTGCGGCAGCGGATCTGCATCGCCATCGCCCTCCTGAAGGAGGCCAGCAAGTCAGAACCTGTCTGGGAGGGAGATGGGGCAGAGGACAGGGGTGCAGGCATGGCATGGCAGTGCTGGGAAGGTGGCGGGGAGCCCCGGAAGAGAAGGACAGAGTTACGCAGTGGTTAACACTGCCGCGTGACTCAGTTTGTCTGAGACTCGGTTTACCTACCTGTGAAATGGGGACAATAATAGTTTTTTTTTTTTTTTTTAAAGATTTTACTTATTTATTTGAGAGAGAGCAAGGAAGAGAGAGCATAAGCAGGGGGAGTGGCAGGCAGAGGGAGAGGGAGAAGCAGGCTTCCCGCCAAGCAGGGAGCCTGATGCGGGACTCTATCCCAGGACCCTGGGATCATGACCTGAGCCAAAGGCAGACACTCAACCGACTGAGCTGCCCAGGTGCCCGGGGGGTGGGGGCCAATAATAGTTCCTACTTCAGGGGTGCCTGGGTGGCTCAGTTGGTTAAGCGACTGCCTTCGGCTCAGGTCATGATCCTGGAATCCCGGGATCGAGTCCCGCATCGGGCTCCCTGCTCAGTGGGGAGTCTGCTTCTCCCTCTGACCCTCCCCCCCCATGTGTTCTCTCTCTCTCTCTCATTCTCGCTCTCTCAAATGAATAAATAAATAAATAAATCTTAAAAAAAAAAATAGTTCCCTCTTCGTAGGGTTGTCATGAGGATTAAATGAGTTAGTGTCTTGTCAGGTTCCCAGAACAGGAAGCAGGCTCTCCATGAGGAGCGGGCAGAAAGGTGGCTGCCGTGGTGGTGGCTGAGGGGTGGGATGGCAGGAGCCCAGGCTTGTTCCCACCCCGGTCCTACCTGCCGAGCCCGTCAGGAGACCGGACTTTGAGGACTCTGCTCCCTTATCCTCCCTGAAGCTGCCCCAGGTGGCTCCTCTGCTACTCTGATTTCCTCTAAGGGTCCCTTGAGCCTGGTTTATTCAATTCCGTTCATTCAGTGAGCACCTACTGTGTGCCCAGCCTGGGGGACAGAGCAGGCCCTGGCAAGGGCAGCAGTGGGGACCTTATCAGGGTCAGCCCCAGGACAGGATGATGGGTGGGCGCTGGGGCCCGGGGCCATACTGATGGACTACTCTTACCTCCCTACAGGGCTGTGGGGCAGATGATGTCTACCCTGTTCTACCCTCTGGTCACCTTTGTCCTCCTGCTCATCTGCATTGTCTATTGGACCATGACTGCCCTGTATCCTTTGGCCACATGGCCAAGGCCCTTCTGAGGGGGGGTCGGTGGCGGGGTTGGGGGGGCGGCGGGGAAGGGGCAGTATTTACCTGTACAATGCCTTAGTGCAATGGGAAGAAGGTGCCCCTTTCTCCGGGCAGACACAGGCCCGCCCCTGGACAGAGTTGAAAGACTGAGCCCAGGCTGATTTCCAACCCTTTCTGCAGTGAACAACCTGCGCAAGTGCCTGGGAAGGTGTCCCTGAGGAACGTACCCGTGGAGACCCCCATGTGACTATGCCTTCTTCCTTGACTCCCCTCTGGGTACCTGGCCACATCCGGGCAACCCCAATATGTCCTCTGGGTGCCCAACGCCAGCTTGCCCGGCTGTGAAAAAGTGCAAATGAATACATCGTGCGACCCCATGGTGAGGGGATTTGGGGTGGACATGGTGGTGGGCACCAGCAGGGCTGAGGTGACCTTAGGGGCCAGCTGGTCCAAATCCCTCATTGTGCAGCAGAGACTGAGGACCAGAGAGAAAAAGGAGTTCCCTCAAGGTCACATGACAGGCCCCCAGTAGAGCCAGAAAGGGGGCCAGTAGTGGACTCTGGATCCAGTATGCCTCCCCCTCAGCCACCCCTACTCAAAGAAGGAAACTGAGGCTGGAGGAGGCGTGTGGCTCTGGGAAAGCGGGGTCGGCCCTTCCCACCCTCCCCTGAACTGGCCTCTGCCAGGAGGACTGTTAGCCACTTGGGCCTCCAGTCTCAGTCCATTCATCTGTAAAATGGAGACAATCATAATACCTGTCCCTCGGAGTGGCTGAGAAGATTGAATGACATCAGGCACGTAAAGTGCTTTGTACAATGTCTGGCACCTGATAAGAGCTGATAACTGTAGATGGGTTTTGTTTCATTTTAAAGCCTTTTTCCTGGGAACAAAGTGCCTTAGGCAATAGGCAGGTGGGGCTGAGTGGGGGGGGGCGGGGAAGAGAAGCCGCTTCCCCACACTCTGCCCTCTGGGGTTCCCAGAAAGTGCATGGGACTGCAGGGGATTTGCTGTCTTCAGAGCTTTCGTGGGGCCACCTCTTGGAAGCTGGGATGGGGCTTTGCTCCCAGGCATTAGCCCACTCTACAACAGGAGAGGGAGGGAGGTTGGTTTACATTTAGGGAGGACCCACCCTGTGCCAAGCACTAGGTATGCAAAGCTCCAAATGACCTGGTTCTCGCTTCCAGCTTGTTCAGGATCTAGCAGTGGAGACTGCTAGAAACCCACAGTTACAAAGTGGAAAGTAGTTATTTTCCTATTAAAAAATTTTGAGGGCGCCTGGGTGGCTCAGTTGGTTAAGCAACTGCCTTCGGCTCAGGTCATGATCCTGGAGTCCAGGGATCGAGTCCCGCATCGGGCTCCCTGCTCAGCGAGGAGCCTGCTTCTCCCTCTGACCCTCCCCCCTCTCATGTACTCTCTCTCATTCTCGCTCTCTCAAATAAATAAATCTTTAAAAAAAAATTTTTTTGAAGACACACAGCAATTTCAGCAATTCTTAAGATTTTTGTTACATTTGCTGGAAAGGGTTGTTGGGTTTTTTTGATTTTTGTTTTACTTCTGTGTTTTTTACTTTTTATTGTGGAAATTTTCAAACCCACACAAACTCTCACCTTCCCACTGTCCTTGTTTCATCCATCTCCACTCCCCTACCCCCCACAATCCTTTTTCCTGGAGTTTTTTAAGGTAAATTCTGGACATATGTGCCAGTTCACCCGTAAACACATCAGGATGGATCTCGACAGATAAGCACTTTTTACTTTTTTTTTTTTTAAATAATCTCTACCCCCAACGTGAGGCTCAGACTCAACTCTAAGATCAAGAGTCGCACGCTCTACAGATTGAGCCAGCCAGGTGCCCTGACAGATAAGGACTTTAAAAAGCATAACCAAAGGGGCGCCTGGGTGGCTCAGTCGGTTGAGCATCTGACTCTTGATTTCTGCTCAGATCATGATCTCAGGGCGATGACCTCAGGGTCATGGGATTGAGGCCTGGGGCAGGCCCCCTGCTCAGTGGGGAGTCTGCTTCAGATTCTCTCCCTCTCCCTCTGCTCCTCTCCCTGCTCTCTCTCTCTAGAAAGAAATCTTAAAAAGAAAAAAACACACAACCAAAAAAATAAAAAATAAAATAAATTTAAAAATAAATAAAAAGCCTAACCACTATACCATTATCACACCCAACAAGATTAACAATAATTCCTTAATACCATCTAATATTCCCAGTGTGTTCATTTTTGCTAGCAAGCATTTTGGTTGAAGTTGCAGAGGCTGTCTTTTTGGGGTTTTTTTAAGATTTTATTTATTTGACAGAGCACAAGCAGAGGGAGAGAGAGGGAGAAGCAGACTCCTTGCTGAGCAAGGAGCCTGATGCGGGACTCAATTCCAGGACCCTGGGATCATGACCCGGGCCGAAGGCAGCCGCTTAACCGACTGAGCCACCCAGGCGTCCCTGCAGAGGCTGTCTTAGAGGGGATTGCTGATTGAGCGCCAGGGAGAGAGCTAGGTGCTGGTCACGCTGCCTTCACACCATTCAGGCTTGGCCCACGCAGCCTGGGACCTCTTGTGCCCATATGGAGACTGAAGGAAAGCTAATTACTCTCACACACTAGGCAATCTGAACCCAACTAGAACCTGGAGAAGGATCTCCTGGAACGAAATGGCTTCCCCAACTCAGGGAGGCCGCTACTTCCCTCCCTCTACTCGGAGTGGCAGGAGTTGGCTGGGAATGACCGTACTCTGTCACCCCCAGGCCCAGCCCGTGAACTCCTCATGCCCAGGGCTGGGGTGCGTCTTCCAGAGCTACTCATCCACAGGCCTGGTTCAGCGTTCTCTCTTCAATTTGCAAATCTACGGGGTCCTGGGTCTGTTCTGGACCATCAACTGGGTACTGGCCCTGGGCCAGTGTGTCCTGGCTGGGGCCTTTGCCTCCTTCTACTGGGCCTTCCACAAGCCCCGGGACATCCCCACCTTCCCCCTGAGCTCTGCCTTCATCCGCACACTCCGGTAAGCCTGGGGCCGGGGGCTGGGAATTGTGAGCCTGGGAGTCTCAGGGGCCCTGGAGCTGCCTCTGACTGCCTGGCCCCTCTGCAGTTACCACACTGGGTCGCTGGCCTTTGGAGCCCTCATCCTGACCCTTGTGCAGATAGCCCGAGTCATTCTGGAGTACACTGACAGCAAACTGAGAGGTGAGCAGCTGGCCCCTTGGGGTGGGGCTGTCAGGGCACAGTGACCAAACATGAGCGACCCCTTTCTCCCAGGAGCCCAGAACCCTGTGGCCCGCTGCATCATGTGCTGCTTTAAGTGCTGCCTCTGGTGTCTGGAGAAGTTTATCAAGTTCCTAAACCGCAATGCCTACATCATGGTGAGCCCCGCTGCACGAGCAGCCCCTTGTTCTGGGGTCCCTGGGCTCAGGCCCCTGCCCTGGTCCAGGTAAGCTCCACACAGGTGACTCTGACCTTTCGACCCCACTCAGATCGCCATCTACGGGAAGAATTTCTGTGTCTCCGCCAAAAATGCTTTCATGCTGCTCATGCGGAACATTGTCAGGTCAGGCTCTCCCCCACCCCCAGGATCTCCTACCCAAGGCCGGCTTTGTGGGCATGCGGTGCTCAGCAGGGCCTCGAGCTTGGTTGAATGTTCTGCTGCCTTCATCTTGAAGTGTGAACGATTTTCATTTTGCATCTGTCACAGCAACTTATATAGCCAATCCAGTTCCTAGCCCTGCCAGGCCCCCTCATGCCCGACCCACCCCAACTTCCCATACAGGGTGGTCGTTCTGGATAAAGTCACAGACTTGCTGCTGCTCTTCGGGAAGCTGCTGGTGGTTGGAGGTGTCGGTAAGGGCCAGGGCTGGGAGTTACGCGGACGGAGGGCAGGGGCAGAGGGCAGCCGAGGTGACCTCAGAGGAGTGATGACACTGACCTCCAGACCTCTCCCCCAGGGGTCCTGTCCTTCTTTTTCTTCACCGGTCGCATCCAGGGGCTGGGTAGAGACTTTGAGAACCCCTTCCTCAACTATTACTGGCTGCCCATCATGGTGAGTGACTCCCCGGCTCTGCCTCACTGTCCAACCCCCTGAAGGAACTCTAACATGCCCTGGATCTTCCAGATCTCCATCCTGGGGGCCTATGTCATTGCCAGCGGCTTCTTCAGCGTTTTTGGCATGTGTGTGGACACACTCTTCCTCTGTTTCTGTGAGTGACAGCCCCTCCCACTCCCCCCAAATTTCAAGGTACCAGATTGTTTAGGGTTTTTTGGAGACTTGGGACTTCTAGAAACAGCAGCTTTGTGAGCTAAAGGAGCCAAACTCAGAGGAAGCCTCTTCTGCCATCCTCAAGCCAGGGGCTTGCGGAAGAAAAGAGGAAGTGAGCTGCCAGGCTGGCAGGGTCTCCCAAGAAAGAGCATTCCGGGGCAGAGGCCTCTGGTATCTCTCCGTAGAAAATCGAAGGTAGAACGGCCACAAGAGACTTCCCAGCAGGTGGCTGTAGTGAGTGGGGATTAGCTCACCCTCCTATGACCATTGAACAACCCCATTTTTTCCCGATAAATACAGTAAGTACTGTAAACGTATTCTTTTCCTTAGGATTGTCTTAACATTTTCTCTTCCTTAGCTTATTTTATTGTAAGAATACAGTATACAGTACATATAACATACAAAATACGTGTTAACTGACTGTTACCAGTAAGGCTTTGGGTCAACAGTAGGCTATAAAATTCGGGTGGAAAAAAAGCAATAGGCCGATTGTTGATTGCGTGGGGGGTCAGCGCCCCTAATCCCTGTGTCGTTCAAGAGTCAGCTCTACATCCATTCAGGGTTTAGTATGCACTGCAGTCTGCAGTACGCGGTTGACATGCATTTCTGTTCTTAAGCTCTAGCACGCTATGAACTACAGTATTACTGACCCCACTTTACCAAGAAACCGAGATTACATATAGGTTACCAAAACTGCCCAAAAGAACAGCCCGTGGTGGTGCAGCCTGAAACCAGGCAGCTAGTCTCGTCTTCCCCTATCTTCCCGGGGAGTGGGGTAGCTCCCGAGGGTCCACTCTAACGGTCTCTGTTGCGGCTCAGTGGAAGACCTGGAGAGGAACGACGGCTCCCTGGACCGGCCCTACTACATGCCCAAATCCCTTCTGAAGATCCTAGGCAGGAAAAACGAGGCGTTCCCAGGGGACAAGAAGAAGAAAAAGAAGTGAGAGACGCGGCCCTGATCCAGGGCTGCACCCCTCCTGTACAGCCTCCCAGCCTCACCCCGCCTTCCAGATCTCGATTTTGTAGTTAAAAAAAATTATTAAAGGTTGATACTTTGTTTTCTCAAAAAGTCCGGGACTTTTATTTCCTCCATGACGAATTGCAGCTTTTTTTCCGCCGCCTGGCTCTTTAAAATAGGCCCCGCCCCCTCTAACACGCCCCAGGAGCCATGGCCAATCAAAAGGTTCCTGCGGAGTGATGTCAGCCCTTCTTCATCCCAGCCAATAAGCTTCTAGTCCGGGTCACAAGTTCCGAGGCTTCAAAAGGAGCCAATTGGAAGGCCCGGTTCCGGTCATGTGAGGAGTCTCAGTGTGTGAGGGCCAATTAGAGTCGCGGAAGTGCGGCAGGTGGCTGGACTCCGGGCGGGTTGGGGGAGTTGTGGGAGGGGGGCTGGGGGGGAGTAGTAGCTGGCATTTAAAGGGCCCGGTCAGCTGACAGACTCCAGCCCGCGTCTAGCCCTGGGGGCCTGGGTCCCGGCTGCCCAGGAAGAGATGATGGCGAACCGACTCGGCACAGTGCTCCTGGGCAGGCCCGGGGGACCGCGGATGCCGGGGTTCTGGGGAGGATGTAGAGTTCAGGTATTTGCCGCAATCTTCCTGCCGCTGTTGTCTCTGGCAGAATTTGGGGCTGGGATAAGGAACGACTTCAGTCTGGTGAGTCTCCCCTCGTATTACCCATCCCAGACTCACGCGGGTCGTCTATGCCCAGCGCCCCCTGGGACGCGGGCTGCTGAGACCCCCTCCTCCGAGGGACTCTCCCGCCGCTCTCAGACCCCGTTCCCTCCATCCGCTCCCAACCCCTCTCCCTTCCCGGGCCCTTGTTCTCCTGCCCTCCGAGTCTCCTCTTCATTCGAGTTCGTTCCCTTTGGAGGTCCCCCACCCCCGCGCTGCCCGAAGGCGCCTTCTCCCCTCATAGCCCTTCCCCGGCTCCGAGCCCCCCCAGCTTTGCTCCAAACTCTCCTCCGGTTCCCCTTCCTCATTCTGCCCCCCACCCACACTCTGATCCCCAACACCCTGGCTTTCCCAGGGAAACTCGACCCGGAGCCACTATTCACCGGTCCTAAAACCCGAAGTCAAGTTTGTCCGTTGACCCTTCCTTCCTCCTCCCTTCGCAGGTTCAGCCGCTGGTGACCATGGAGCAGCTGCTGTGGGTGAGCGGGAGGCAGATCGGTTCTGTGCACACCTTCCGAATCCCGCTCATCACAACCACTCCTCAGGGCACTCTCCTTGCCTTCGCCGAGGCCAGAAAAATGTCCACATCGGATGAGGGGGCCAAGTTCATTGCTCTTCGGAGATCCACTGACCAGGGTATAAAGATGCCTGGGTGGCAAGGGCTGGTGTTGGGTTGCATGGGTGGGGAGCCTGACCTGCCCAAGGGCCCTGAGGATAGGATAGGACCACTGGGAGAGCTGGAGGCCTGGGTCCCTGAGGGGTAGAGGGAATTGAGGAGGGAAGCTGTCCAGAGCAGAGATCTAGAAATTGTGATCACCTAGGAGTTGAGCATTCAAACATTTATTGAGGAGGGAAGCTCAGAGCAGGGATCTAGACCTTATCCCTGGGGAAGAAGCCCAACTGGGGGCATCTCCCAGACTCCTCAAAAGGCAGCCCCCTCCACCCATCTCAGGCATAGCTGTCCAGAGCAGGGATCTAGAAATTGTGATCACCTAGGAGTTGAGCATTCAAACATTTATTGAGCACCTGCTATATACCAGGCCCCATTCTAGATTCTGTGAATACACTTGTGAACAAAGCAGACCAAAAATCTCTGCCCTTTTGGGGCTTATATTGTCTGTGGGGAGACAGACAATAAACATAATAAATAGGTAAATTTATTTTTTGTTGGAAAGTGATAAATATAATGGAGAGAAATAAAACGGTGCTGGAGATTGGTTGCAATTTTATTTTTTTAGTTTTTTTAAAGATTTTATTTATTTATTTATTTATTTATTTGAGAGAGATCTAGAGTGAGAGAGCACAAAGCAGAGGGAGTGGCAGAGGTATACCAGGCAGATGTCACCAGCCTGTGCAGAGGCCTCCTGGAGAGAAGTATATGAGGAATGGGAAGGAACTTGGGGGACATGATGGAGTGAGCAAGGGTGGAATAGATAAGATCAGAGAGGTGAGGTGGGGCAGGTCTTGTGGGACCCTGGGGCCACTCTGAGGCCTTGGGTCCCTACCAAGGGGTGGAAATTAACAGGGAGTGGTAGAAAGGGCACCTTCAGAGTGCTCACCCTGGATTACTTCTCTTTTCTCTTCAGGCAGCACATGGTCTCCGACAGCTTTCATCGTAGATGATGGGGAGACCCCAGATGGGCTGAACCTGGGGGCAGTGGTGAGCGATATGGAGACAGGAGTGGTGTTCCTTTTCTATTCCCTCTGCGCTCACAAGGCTGGCTGCCAGGTGGCCTCCACCATGTTGGTGTGGAGCAAAGATGACGGGGTTTCCTGGAGCCCTCCCCGGAATCTCTCGTTGGATATTGGCACCGAGATGTTTGCCCCTGGACCAGGCTCTGGCATCCAGGTCTCTGTCCTGAGATGGGTGGAGGGGGCTGCCTTTTGAGGAGTCTGGGAGATGCCCCCAGTTGGGCTTCTTCCCCAGGGAGAAGGTCTTGTGAAGTCAGGTTTCTGCTTAGATGGCATTCCTTGGAAGAAAAGGACATCCTGGGAGGAACTGCCTCCCAAGGGAAGGTGGAACTTTGCCATCGCCTTCCATCTGGGGGTTGTCAACAGGGCCTTATTAGTCTACGTGGTACCTGTGCAGAATGGGAAAAGGCAGCCCTTGCTTTGAGCAGACACAAGCCTGTGCTGTGGTCCGTGGTGCTCAGCTTGGTGAGTGAGCACACCAAGCCTGGCTCTAAGCTCCCACGCACCCCTGTGGCTAGACCCCCGGCTCCTGCGCACAACCTGTCCTCCTGTGGACGCCCCGGCTGTCCTGAAGGAGCTCATTCTGCGAAAGAGCTCCTTGATTCAGGCAGTGGTGTTTATGGGATCCTCCTGGGACCCTCAGGAGCCAGGACAGAACTGAAGGGGACCAGATGTGTTCTCCCACTTGGGAGGTGATGGGTTCCCCTTCCCTGCCTGGGAGCCCCTTCAGTGTCTCCCTCAGTGACCGCAGCTTCCTTTCCTGCAGAAGCAGCGGGAGCCGCGGAAGGGCCGCCTCATCGTGTGTGGCCATGGGACGCTGGAGCGGGACGGGGTCTTCTGCCTCCTCAGTGATGATCACGGGGCCTCGTGGCGCTACGGCAGCGGGGTCAGCGGCATCCCCTACGGCCAGCCCAAGCGGGAGAACGACTTCAACCCCGATGAGTGCCAGGTCGGGAGGCCCTGGCGCTTCCGCACCCGCCCCGCCTGCCCTGCCTCACAGACCCAGGATCTGGCCGCCCAGCTCTGTGCCATTCCCCTTCCCCCCGCCGCCTGCTTCCTCAGGGACAGGGTCCCCGGGTCTTGCTGAAGCCCTGTTCTCCCCCACTAGCCCTACGAGCTCCCAGATGGCTCGGTCGCCATCAACGCCCGGAACCAGAACAACTACCACTGCCACTGCCGGGTAGTCCTCCGCAGCTACGACGCCTGTGACACAATACGGCCCCGGGACGTCACCTTTGACCCTGAGCTCGTGGACCCTGTGGTAGCCGCAGGAGCCATAGCCACCAGCTCCGGCATCGTCTTCTTCTCCAATCCAGCGCATCCCGAGTTCCGTGAGTGTCTGTCGGGGGGCGGGGGGGAGCCGGCGGGGGGAGCCTCCCTTATCTAGAGAAGGTGCGCCCAGAGCCCCTCCCCTGAGCCTCCCGCCCTCCCCAGGTGTGAACCTGACCCTGCGCTGGAGCTTCAGCAATGGTACCTCGTGGCGGAAAGAGACGGTCCAACTGTGGCCAGGCCCCAGCGGCTACTCCTCACTGGCAGCCCTGGAGGGCAGCATGGGTAGGAAGGACGAGGCCCCCCAGCTCTATGTCCTGTATGAGAAAGGCCGGAACCAGTACACAGAGAGCATCTCCCTGGCCAAAGTCAGCGTCTATGGGACACTCTGAGCTGTACACCTGCCCCAGGAGTAGAAGGCCTTGGACTTAGCCTTTGGGCCCATGGGTCCATAGAGATCTGCTAGAGTTGACTAAAAGACAGTTCCACCTTCCTTTAGACTCTAGCCTTTGCAAAACCAAGTCCTCTTTGACAGGGAAATCACTCTGTTAGGACTGCAAGCCTGGCTTCTTCCACACAGAAAGTCCTGCCCTCGCTTGAGAGCACTTTCTTTCCACATCATTGCTGGGTTTGGCCCCCTGCCCCTTCTGCCTTCCCGGGGCGATGACTGGTCCTTTTCTTAGGCAGGGCGAGGCAGGCCTGTAGAATTGAATAAATGCGAACTCAGGGAATTGGGGAAGGCTGAGCTTCCTCTTCGGGGTAAGATGCGGGCTATGGTGTGGGTTGGTGAAAGTTCTGGAAGGGCAATATTTGGATTCAGGGTAAAGAACTAGGTGCCCCACCCACCTTGACTATTTATAAATCGAAATATTTGTAACTTAACGTTTTTAATGAAGGAGAATGAGCATTTGTGGAGTCTGTGTGGTTCTATCAATGCGCATCTTCATGTCCATTCTTCGTGTACACTTGTAAGAGGCTGGGAATGAGCTTTGGGGAGGAAGCTGGTGTGCTTATTGCCTGTGGAAATCGGACTTCGGCACATTAAATCCTCCTTTCCCTTTCACATTCTTCTTTCTCACAGGAAAACAGATTCATCTTCATACGTGTAATGAGGAGTAGCAGGGGGAGCCCTGTGAGATATTTAAAAATCTGCCCTGTTTCATATTGCTAAGATGGAGTCCTCTGGGAGGCAGGGGGCAGGTGTGTGAAATGCAGATGGGAAGCCTCTCACCCAGACCAACCTGGCAGAGAAATAAGCACGGTGACAAATTATGTGAGAAAATAGCACCATCCTCAGGCAGATGCTGTGAAGAGAATGGGCAGCCTACAGATGAGTGGGAGAGCCATATGTAACTTTCCTCCATATGGAGGAGGAAAGAAAATATGATGCCTAGATGAGGTGATAAGAATGTTAAAGACTGAGGAGTAAGGGTCACATTCACTTACAGTTAGAGATTCCTTTTACTTTCAACTTACTTGTCTAATTATCCTAACATCTAAGAAATGTTAGGTTAATTCATTCCGCCAGATAGGAAAAGTGGAATAATCCCACTGTGTGTGAGGATATGGTTCAGTTTTGTATTTGATCCAGAATTTGTGATAAAAAAGGTAATACTTCAATTTTTTCACTTACAGACATTTTTTTTAAAAAGATTTTATTTATTTATTTGAGAGAGAGAGAATGAGAGAGAGCGAATACATGAGAGGGGGGAGGGTCAGAGGGGGAAGCAGACTCCCTGCCGAGCAGGGAGCCCAAGCCCGATGCGGGACTCGATCCAGGGACTCCAGGATCATGACCTGATCGAAGGCAGTCGCTTAACCAACTGAGCCACCCAGGCGCCCTCACTTACAGACACTTTTAAAAACACAAAGGTAGAGAAAATAGCTTAATGAACGCCATGTACGCCCCACATGTCCAACATTTGCTTCCTCCGATTCTTTTTTCTTTTCCTTTCCTTGGTTGAAATACTTTGAAGCAGATCCCAGACTTTGTGACATTCACCCCTACGTTCTTAAGTATGCATCTCATTCTTTAAAAATGGAACATTTTATTATGTAACCATAACACCATTGCACACCCAAAACATTAACAATAATTTTTTTTTTTTTAAAGATTTTATTTATTTATTTGAGACAGAGTGAATGAGAGACAGAGAGCATGAGAGGGAGGAGGGTCAGAGGGAGAAGCAGACTCCCCGCCGAGCAGGGAGCCCGATGCGGGACTCGATCCCGGGACTCCAGGATCATGACCTGAGCCGAAGGCAGTCGCTTAACCAACTAAGCCACCCAGGCGCCCCAACAATAATTCTGATATCATCTAATATCCATCCAGTCAATGTGCAAATTTCATCAAATGTCTCAATGTCTTATTTATAGTTTTGTTCAAATCAGGATCCAAAGAAAACCTATATATTTCATTTTGATGTCTCTTAAATCTAGATTAATCTGCCATCCCACCTCCCCTCTTTCAATTTTTCTTGATACCATCTATGCAGAAATAGAGACATTTATCCTATAGAACGTTCCACTCTGATTTGTCAGTTTGCTCCTCAGACTGTCATTTAACTTCTTCCTCCATCCTTCACATTTCCAGTTATCAAACCTGAAGGCCTGGCTGCCGATCCATTTTGGGGGCGGGGGCGGGGGAGAGGGCAGCAGGATAAGATCCCTTCCCAGGTGGTGTCTGCTTCCTACTGTACCCCCTCAGGGGGCAAGTACTGAGTAAAGCTGAGCTTGAGCAGTGGGTTCAGGTGGCCACAGCCTGACCCCTCCTTTGTAAGTTCCCCCCATCAACCCTCCAACTGACAATTTCATCCACAGATGGGTTTTGCCTGAACCATTTTGAGGGGTTGTGAAATGTTGATTTTTTTAATTCTATTATTTCTACCCATTACCTGAAATTCTTCAGTAAAAAGAGAGCTTTCCCTCTGGGTGCCTCGGTGGCTCAGATCGTTAAGGGTCTGCCTTTGGCTCAGGTCATGGTCCCAGGGTCCTGGGATCGAGTCCTGCATCGGGCTCCCTGCTCCTTGGGAGCCTGCTTCTCCCTCTGCCTCTCTCTCTCTGTCTCTCATGAATAAATAAATAAAAAATCTTAAAAAAAAAAAAAAAGAGCTTTCCCTCATCAAAGCTGTTGGGTTACCCTGAAGCATTGTAGGGAAAGGCAGGATAAACGCTTAACTTCCCCCCTTTTACTTGCCAGTTCTCAGAGTAAACTGACTGATGTAATACTTTGTCTTGGCCAGTAAACCACACTGTTACCAACCACACAGGGGACATATAGAGGAAGAATCTGTGGCCGGTAGGAGGAGGCAGGGGGACATCTGAGGGAAGAAAGGAGAGAGAAACCCAGGCCCCAGGCAGCATGGCTGGTGGGGTGAGGGGGTCTGTTTTTCTAATACAGATCACAAGATAGGTATGATGCGAGAAGATCGGAGAGGATGCGAGAAGATCGGAGAGGGTGGCGTCTGCAGCAATTGGGACATCTATCTAATAGCACTAAAAATTGCACCTCTGACAAGGTCTTGCCAACAGTGCTTTTAGAAATACTGGGGGAGGGGGCGCCTGGGTGGCTCAGTCGGATAAGAGTCCGACTCTTGATCTTAGCTCAGGTCTTGATCTCAGGGTCGTGGGTTCAAGCCCAGCATGAAGCCTACTTAAAAAAAATAAAAATAAAAAAATACTGGAGGAAAGAAAGGAAATGATACCATGAATGTCTGACCCATGAGCTACTGTGTCATTTAAGTAGATGTGGCAGAAGGCTTGTGAAGAGTGACCTTGTTCCTTTTTAGCCAAGAACCATCAGCTGAGAGAGGATCCTCCCCCAGGAGGGTGTGGGGCAGAGCCCTGGGCCCCATCCCTGGGCCCCATCCCAGAACTGCAAGTTCAGTATTCTAGAATCAATCTGGGATTTGCATTTTAAATTTATTTATTTATTTATTTATTTATTTGAGAGAGAGAGAGATAAACCCTAGTGGGGTGAGGGACAGAGGGAGAGAGAATCTGGAGCAGACTCCCCTCTAAGTGAGGAGCCCATTTAGCCTAGACTTAGGAAGAATAGACTTCAAAACACTGTAGAAAAGATCTCAAGGGGAGCCTGGGTGGCATCTGCCTTCCGCTCAGGTCATGATCTCAGGGACCTGGGATCAAATCCCACATGGGGCTCCCTGCTCAGCAGGAAGCCTGCTTCTCCCTCTCTCTCTGCCCCTCCGCTCCTGCTCATTTTCTTTCTCTCAAATAAATAAATAAAATCTTAAAAAAAAAAAAAAAGATCTCAAAAGAGAAACTGTTTCAGTAGGAAGAATTTATGTCCAAAAAACAAGTAACCCTAATAGCCGGCTGGGACCAAACCTGCTTATTTACCCCAGCACCTTGAATGCCCCCACAACAGCTGCCACATGGTGGGTGCCTCATACTGGAGGCAAGACAGATCAGGGTGGGTAAGGAGCTAGGCCAGTGGTTCTCAAAGTATGGTCCCAGATGGGCACAGGGGATCTCTTTTAATGTAAAGGGGGGATTGGAAGGAATGTCTGGAGGCTGTAAGAGGAAGGTGTAGTGCTTATCTGTACAAATGGGACAGAGCAAACATAGCCTGCAGCCTGGCCAGTGTCTCCTAGGCGAGCAGCCACATTCTAGCCTGGAGCTGGGCCCCTAACACAGGCCCCTCCCCTTCACCCACCCCCATCCCTCTCCCCAGCCCCTGGGCTCAGGACTGAACTCTGGGCTCTCTCTCCCTGTCCTCAGGCTGCCCTTAAACAGTGAGAAAAGATCATTAACAACTTAGGTTGAGCAGCAAATACCAGGGACCAGGCACCAGGTATACTTTTCACTAGTCAGTCCTCACAACCAGAAGTTGCTACCAGGAAGGAGCAGGAGGAGGTCAATCAATTTTGCCCAAAGAAAGATTAGGAGAGGGGCACCTGGGTGGCTCAGTCAGTTAAGCATCCGCCTTCCGCTCAGGTCATGATCTTGGGGTCCTGGGATTGAGCGCCGTGTTGGGTTCCCTGCTCAACCGTGGGCCTGCTTCTCTCTCTCTCTCTCCCTCTGCTGCTCCCTCTGCTTGTGCACTCTCCCTGTCAAATAAATAAAAAAAAATTTTTTTAAAGATTTTATTTATTTGACAGATATATCGAGACATAGCGAGAGAGGGAACACAAGCAGGGGGAGTGGGAGAGGGAGAAGAAGGCTTCCTGCTGAGCAGGGAACCCGATGCGGGGCTCAATCCCAGGACCCTGGGATCATGACCTGAGCCGAAGGCAGACGCGTAACGACTGAGCCACCCAGGCACCCCAATAAATAAAATCTTTTAAAAAATTTAAAAAAAGAAAGGTTAGGAGAGAAGATCTAAGGCAAAAGCCTGCACTTCTTTTTGACCACCAAAAAACCTGACTCAAATTACCACAATGAAAGAGTAGGTTTCCCTTTCCTAATACTCTGGATAGAATATTTTTAAGAACACATTTTTAGTGTAAGGCTTAGCTGGCAGAAAAGTAAGGGAAATCTTCAAAAACCATAAATAATAGAAAGCAAGAATCCAGAAAATCAAGTGGGCCTGGAGGCTCTGCTTGCCCTGCGGACATCAGCCAATGCTCAGTGCTGAAATCAGGGTTTCAGTGGATCTCAGATTTGCAGTCAGGAGATAAAGCCAGGCACCTGAGGACTGAAAATTAAACAAGAAAGTTCTTCCTGTCCCCCCAACCCATCCCCAACAAAGCAGGACTGCACTTTGGGTGCATAATTTTTAAAAATTTTTTTTAAATATTTTATTTATGGGCACCTGGGTGGCTTAGTTGGTTAAGCAACTGCCTTCGGCTCAGGTCATGATCCCAGAATCCTGGGATTGAGTCCCACATTGGGCTCCCGGCTCAGGGGGAGCCTGCTTCTCCCTCTGACCCTCTCCCCTCTCATGCTGTTTCTCGCTCGCTCGCTCTCTAATAAATAAATAAATAAAATCTTTAAAAAAAATAAAATATTTTATTTTATTTATTTATTTGAGAGAGAGAGAAACCATGAGCAGGGGTAGGGACGGAGGGAGAGGGAGAAACAGACTCCCTGCTGAGCAGGGAGCCCCAATGCAGGACTTGATCCCAGGACCCTGGGATCATGACCTGAGCCGAAAGGAGATACTTAACCTGTTTAGAGAACACCAAAAAACTTAGGAATCAAGATAAATAAAGTTTGAATGCAATATTTCTAAAAATCTAATTGGCAAACTACAGCTCACAAGTGGGCTGCCTCTTTTTGTAAACAAAGTATCAAGAGGCCACATCTTCAATGGATCAACTGGCCTCTGACTTTGTTCTGGATCAAGGTCAGGGAAGTGTCTCTGGAAAACGCCTAACAGAAGTTCACACTCCTGTGGGATTGGGACCAGAAATCACATCCTCTGTCGCCTCCAAATCTGCAAGCCACAAGTTTAGCAGTACCAGATCTTAAGCTCAGCGGTAAGTACATGTTGTTTATTAGTCTTCTTTAAAGTGTATGTAATTAGGGGCGCCTGGCTGGTTCAGTGGTAGAGCATGTGACACCTGATCTTTGGGTCATGAATTCAAGCCCCACGTTGGGCCTAGAACTTACTTTTAAAAAGTAGTAATAATAAATTGTACATTATTATTATATACACTATATATGTATATGATATATACATAGTTAACTTCTTGCCTCAGTATCTTAAGCCCATCTAATTTTGCTATGTTGCTATCAATTAACCAATTTAAGGGACATGTATTGTTTGACAATTACCGATCTTGGTTCTGTTATTTTTAAATCCCTGGAGATGTGGAGATGCCCTTGCTATTGGAGGTGGGAGCAACATCCAGGAACTATCGTGGGTCCTCTGAGGATGTCAGGCCAAACACACGGGCATTTCCTTGGCCACAATTTTAAAAACAGAGATCAGAGGAAGATCAGTGTCTCAGAATGTTTGGGTCTCAGCAAGGCATTTGATAAGGTCAAAGGGTCCACAGGGAAATTTCCTGGATAAAAAGAAGTAAGGGAATTCATTTGCCACTGTTGGAGGAGACTTTTATACCAACTCCGCACACACACAATACTGTAAATAAAGGGAAAAAATGAATCATTTATCCTGCCTTTGCAGTGGAAACAAGTAATTCAGTTTTGACAAAATACTCCTCATCTCATCTCCTTTCGGCTCAGGTCATGATCTCAGGGTCCTGGGATCGAGTCCTGCATCAGGGCTCCCTGCTCAGCAGGGAGCCTGCTTCTCCCTCTCCCTCTGCCCCTCCCCCTGCTCATGCTTTCTCTCTCTCTCAAATAAATAAATGTTGGTGAAATGACATACTTATTGCTTCTTTTACAGCAGAATATCATCTAATAAGGGGAGGAAGGATAATCAAATTAGAAAATCATTTGGCAAACCTGAATGAACTAACTTAGGTGAAGGAGTTCAGAGCGTGTCGCCCCAAACATGGGGTGTTGGCATATTGATTATTTTGAGTTAAAGGCACTGGAAAAACAGTAGGTGCAAAGAAGGCCCTCTGTCCTTCCTTTTTCTTCCTGAAAGCAGGAAATAAAGCTCCCATGTGAAAGGTGCCCTCCTTGTAGCCGGAGGAAGGAAGACATTCTCATTATCAAGGACGAGAGGCTGAGACTGAGCGAATGCTACACAAACAGACTGTTAAAATAATTCCGATTTCCTGTCACCTCCCCACAGTTTAGTCACTTTGTCACAACTGCCTCTCTTTGTTCAACCCAACAGAAAAACAAGTAGTCACCGTGTCCTTGGATCTTCATTTCCATATAAAGGCTCCAGTGTCATGGGAAACTTATATTAAATAAATCTGTATGCCTTTTTTCTGTGTATTTGTCTTAATGTTCAGACCCAGCCAGGGACCCTGCGAGGGTCAGGGAACACTTTCCTCCTCTACGCGGACAAAGATCGTCAATGGATGCTAAAACCATTAGGTTAAAGGTTGATGGGGAACTGGATATTCATTCATATGGTGCCAAATCTTGTCAGTCACAAGCGGGGAAAGTACCTCGACAATGAAGAGATCTAGGGGTCACCACTTTAACTGGGTAATCAAGCTGAGATCAAGAATGGGACTTGTAGGGCGCCTGGGTGGCTCAGTTGGTTAAGCGACTGCCTTCGGCTCAGGTCATGATCCTGGAGTCCCGGGATCGAGTCCCGCATCGGGCTCCCTGCTCAGCTGGGGGTCTGCTTCTCCCTCTGACCCTCTTCCCTCTCTTGCTATCTGTCTCTCATTCTCTCTCTCTCAAATAAATAAATAAAATCTTAAAAAAAAAAAAAAAAAGAATGGGACTTGTAGGGGGTGCCTGGCTGGCTCAATCAGTGGAACATGCGACTCTTGATCTCAGGGTTGTGAGTTCAATCCCCACATTGGGCATGGAACCTACTTAAAAAAAAAAAAAAAAAAAAAGAATGGGACAAGTAGATATGATGATACCCCTGATCCAAGGCCCTGTGAAGCACATAGCATGTGGTAAACTGAAAATGATCCCCTAAAAGATATCCACATCCTAATCCCTGGAACCTGTGAATGCTACCTTTCACAGGGGAAAAGAGAATCTGCAGGTGTGATTGAGTCAAGGATTTTGAGATGGGAGATTATCCTGGCTTATCTGGTGGACCCTGAATGCAATCATTTATACGGTTGTATCAGGAAGCAGAGGAAGACTCACACACAGAGTGAAGAGAAGGCGGCGATGTGCCACAGAGACAGCCTGGAGTGATGTAACCACAAGTCACAAGGAATGCCAACAGCTACCAAAAGCTGGAAGAGACAGGAATGGATTCTCGCCTAGGGTCTCTGGAGGAGATAAGGCCCTGTGGACACCTTGATTTTGGCCCAGGGAAAGTGTTTTAAACGTCAGGCCTCCAGAACTGTGAGGAAATAAATACCTGTTGCTGTAACCCCCCAACTATGTAGTACTTTGTTACACAGGCCACAAGAAAGTAATACATAATGTCAGACATGAAGTATTCTTGCCCAGGCTATGTAACCAGAATCTACATAAGCCTTTAGGGGCAACTTCCAGTTTAAAGAAAATGCAGAGAAGATTGAGGAACAAGTTCAAAACACCAAAAGGACACAATTAGACAAAGCCAGTATGTGGAACATTCTACAAGATGACTGGCCTAGTCTCTTCAAAAGATCAATGTCCCAGAAAGGAGAAAAGAAGGGGGTCATTCTAGAATCAAAAGACTAACAAGATGTAACAAAAAATAATGTGCTTTATCCTTGATTGGATACTGGCTCTTTAAAAAATGATAACTGCCAGGATGCTTGGGTGGCCCAGTCAGTTAAGTGTCTGACTCTTGACCTCAGCTCAGGTCTTGATCTCAGAATTCAAACCCTGTGTTGGGCTCCACACTAGGTGTGGAGCCTACTTAAAATTAAAACAAAACAAAACAAAACAAAAACCTGCCATTTATTTAGAGATAAAATGTCATGGTGATTCACTTTGAAATGAGCCTGCCAAATGTGTATATAATTTAATATATATATGTATATATTTTTTACTTTTCTTTATTTTTTTAAAGCAAGCTTTAGGCCCAACATGGGGCTTGAACTCAGTGACCCTGAGATCAAGAGTCACACGCTCTACTGACAGAGGCAGCAAGGCGCCCTAATTTAATATATATATTTGACATATTTTTTTTTTAATTTTTTTCAAGATTGTATTTATTTGAGAGAGAGAGAGATAGCAAGAGCAGAGGGGAGAGGGAGAAGAAGGCTCCCCACTGAGCCAGGAGACCCACGTGAGGCTTGCATCCCAGGACCCTGGGACCATGACCTGAGCCCCTCAGCCGAAAGCAGACACTTAACCGACTGAGCCACCCAGGTGCCCCATTGACATATTTTTAAATTCAGAAAAATGTTGACAATTGTTGGATTTAGATGTGGGTATATGGGTGTTCTTTGTACTATTCTTTCTATTGTTTTTTTTAGGGGGGAGGGGCTAGAGAGAGGGAGAGAATCCATAAACAGGCTCCACACCCAGTGCAGAGCCCAGTTCGGGGCTCCATCTCACAACCCTGAATCATGAGCTGAGCCAAAACCAAGAGTCGGATGCTTAACTGACTGAGCCATCCAGACGCCCCTTCCTACTGTTTTTTGTTTGTTTGTTTCTTTTTTTGTTTTTAAATGGCTCTATTTGGGACTGTGACTTTTTTTTTTTTAAGATTTTATTTATTCATTTGAGACACAGAGATACAGAGAGAGAGAGAGAGAGAGAGAGAGAGCATGAGCAGGGAGAGAGGCAGAGGGAGAGGGAGAAGCAGGCTCCCCGCTGAACCAGGAGCCCGATGTGGGGCTCGATCCCAGGACCCTGGGATCATGACCCAAGCCAAAGGCAGACGCTTAACCATCTGAGCCACCCAGGCGCCCCCCCCTTCCTACTGTTTTAAAAGCTTCAGGGGCACCAGGCTAGCTCAGTCAATAGAGCACGCAACTCATGATCTTGGCCCACATTGGGGGTAGACATTATTTTTTTAAAAGTTTCATAATAAAAAGTTTAAAAAACTAGTTTTTTATAACAGTTGCTTGGCCTCCTTTAGAAGACAACAACCCGTGTGGAGCACAGCCACTCTCCGTATGCCACTAGGAAATGGGAAGCGCCCTGATCCAGGTGATACCTGCTATGGCAGGCTCTTGAGAGACAGCTCTCACCCCTCCCCGGCCCCCACCTCCACCTTGGTTTATTACCTAATGTCAGCAGATAACTGGGGATTATTGGTGACATCTCTATCTTTGTTACATTCTTTAGAATTCAGTGGTTTACTGCCAGGCAACAGTCAGCCTAGAATTGACCCACTACCACCTGAGGTTCACCTGACTGCCTGCAATTACATTTAACATTTGAAGAGTCAGCAGATACTTTAACCCTTAGGGATAGCCTGTTTCCTTACTCTTTGAGAAATAACACAACAGGGGCGCCTGGGTGGCTCAGTCATTAAGCATCTGCCTTCTCCTCAGGTCATGATCCCAGAGTTCTGGGATCGAGCCCCGCATCGGGCTCCCTGCTCTGCGGGTAGCCTGCTTCTCCCCTCCGCCTGCCGTTTCCCCTGCTTGTGCGCTCTCTCTCTCTCTCACACACACACGCACACACACACACTAAATAAATACAATATTAAAAAAAAGAGAAATACAACAATCAAAAGATAATCATGGGAAAGGAGGATGTTAATGGATGGGAAAGTACTACAATAAACAAATTAACAGATGGCCCTGAGCTGCTCCAGCCAGATGCGCCCATGTGCCCCTGGGCAGAGCTGTTCTGGCAGCGGCATTGTAACAAACCAACCAGGTGAGGGCAGCTCTAAACGCACAACGCCAAAGGTTGGAGCATCTCCTACCATCCTTCATATTAACTTCCTTTTCAAATTATTCACTTGTTTTTTGTTTTTTTTTTTAAGATTTTATTTATTTGACAGAGAGAGATACAGCGAGAGAGGGAACACAAGCAGGGGGAGTAGGAGAGGGAGAAGCAGGCTTCCCGCCGAGCAGGGAGCCCGATGCGGGGCTCGATCCCAGGACCCTGGGATCATGACCTGAGCCGAAGGCAGACGCGTAACGACTGAGCCACCCAGGCGCCCCTATTCACTTGTTTTAAAAAAAAAGTTATTCACTTGTTTTCTCTGCTCCACATTATGGATTTCTTCTTCCACTCACTAGTTTTCTATTCAGTTGTTCTGTTATTTAACTTACTGTGCTTATGTACTCGCTTATTTCAATTTGAGTTTTTCTGCTTGCTTTAATTAAAAAATTTTTTTAAAGATTTAATTTGGGGTGGGGGCGCCTGAGTGGCTCAGTTGGTTAAGCATCCGATTCTTGGTTTCTGCTCAGGTCATGATCTCATGGGCATGAGATCGATCCCCATGTGGGGCTCCATGCTCAGCAGAGTCTGCTTGAAGATTCCCTCCCTCTCCCCCTCCCGCAAATTGTGCTCTTTCTCTAAAATAATCTTTTAAAAAATATATTTAACTAAAAAAATTTTTTGAGAGTGAGAACAAGTGAGCAAATGAGCAGGGTGGGTGAGGGGCTGAAGGCAAGGGAAATAGAGACTCTCAAGCAGGCTCCACAGAGCCCGAGGCAGGGCTCAATCTCACAACCCTGAGATCATGACCCAAGCCAAATTAAAGACTTTTTTTAAAGATTTTATTTATTGGGCGCCTGGGTGGCTCAGTCGTTAAGCGTCTGCCTTTGGCTCAGGTCATGATCCCAGGGTCCTGGGATCAAGTCCCACATCGGGCTCCCTGCTCAGCAAGAAGCCTTCTTCTGCCTCTCCCACTCCCCCTGCTTGTGTTCCTGCTCTCGCTATCTCTCTCTCTGTCAAATAAATAAATAAAATCTTTAAAAAAATTATTTATTTGACAGTGAGAGAGACAGAGAGAGAGGGAACACACTCCCCCAGGGAGAGTGGGAGAGGGAAAAGCAGGCTTCCCGCTGAGCAGGGGGCCTGGTATGGGGCTCCATCCCAGGACCGTGGGATCATGACCTGAGCCGAAAGCAGATGCTTAACAACTAAGCCACCCAGGCGCCCCCGAATTAAAGATTTTTAAGTAGGGGCGCCTGGGTGGCTCAGTTGGTTAAGCAACTGCCTTCGGCTTGGGTCATGATCCTGGAGTCCCGGGATCGAGTCCCACATCAGGCTCCCTGCTCAGCGGGGAGTCTGCTTCTCCCTCTGACCCTCCTCCCTCTCATGCTCTGTCTCTCATTCTCTCTCTCGCAAATAAATAAAATCTTTAAAAATAAATAAATAAATAAAGATTTTTAAGTAATCTCTACACTCAGCTTGGGGCTTGAACTTACAACTCCATAATCAAGAGTTGCATGCTCTACTGACTGAGCCAGCCAGGCGCCCCTCATTTGCTTCCTTTTCAAATCTACCTGCTCTTTGTAATACCCTGTTTGTGTGCAATAAATTTTTTCTTTATCTCTTTGAACACCTTCAGCCTTCATACATGCTGTTATCGGAGTTTCTTAGCTATAAAGTCACCTGCTGCTGCGTCTGCTGACTTGCTCCTGTTGGGGTGGATGCCCAGGGTTTTGGAATCTGGCTCATTTTGGATGTCTTCCAAGGGAGCTCTATGTCTGAGCTTCAGAGTCTGCAGGTGTCTCTGTGGGAGTGACTTAGCTTTTGCCTTTGCTCAGCCCTTCAGAATTCACAGGTCCCAAACCATATTTTTAAGTTAAGAAATAGTTCAGACATAAAAAAATATGAAAAATTATACAGTGAGCTCCTATGGAGCCCCCATGTATACCACCTTGACTGCACCACTCTCTCTACTCACCCCCTGGTCACAGCCCAGGTAATTACTAGCTTGAATTTAGCATTTAGCAATCCCATGCATTTCTTTTACTATATTATATTTAACTCTAAACAATAGTTGAGCTATATAGTATAAGTATATAAGTAAATATTATTAAACATTACATACTACATTTGGGCACCTGGGTGGCTCAGTTGGTTGAGCGACTGCCTTTGGCTCGGCTCAGGTCATGATCTCAGAGTCCCAGGATCGAGTTCCGTGTCAGTCTCCCTGCTCAGCAGGGAGTCTGCTTCTCCCTCTGATCCTCCCCCCTCTCCTGCTCTAAGTAAAAATCTTTAAAAAAAATCTTTTAAAAAATACATTACATACTACATATGTATTCTTTTTTAACTTGCCTTTTTTCCCCTTCACATTGTTTGTGAGATTAATCCATGTGTATTTAGGGTGTATTCCAGAAGCGTAAACACTGCATTGAAGAGAATGTGCATCAGACTTCATAGGTATTGCCAAACTGTTTTCCAAATGGATTGTATAAAGTTACAGTTCCACAAACGATGTCCAAAACAGTTATTTCTCCACTCTAGGATTTCCTCACCACCTAAATGACATCCACGGGCTCTGTTGACAAATTTCAGTCTACCCTACAGACCAAGGCATGTGGTTGTGACCCCAGCCGGCAAGCAAAACCTTTACTCCCTGAACACTGACAGGAGAGTGCGCACCAGCTCCTGGCTTCATGCTATGTGGCTGAGGCAGAGTGGAGAGTAGGAGAGGAGTTCAAAGGCAACAGAGCTAGACCTGGGAGGACCTTGTGAAGACTTTGGCTTTCACTCTCAGTGAAATGGGAACCATTGCAGGATACTGAGCAGCAGAGAGACAAGTCCCAAGTCATGGCGTGGAGGGAAACTTCTGGCTGCTGTGTGGATATAAGACCGTAACAGGGTAAGGGTGGAAGCCAGGAGACCAGTTAGGAGGCTTTGTTGCAGTCATGTAGGTGAGCTGATGAGAGTGCCTACCAGAGTGGAGGTGTGAGATGCAATCCGATTTTGGTGTTATTTTTAAGGTAACACCAGCATGATTTGCTGACAAACTGGATATGTAAGGACAGGAGACTATTCAAACTGACATGCATGTATAAGGATTCATGTACACAAAAGTCCTTGGTGGTGGGGCGTTTGGCTGGCTCAATCAGTAGAGCATGTGAGTCTTGATCTCAGGGTCGTGAGCTGAAGACCCATGCTGGGTGTAGAGCTTAGTTATAAAGAATAAAAAAAAATAAAAGTCAGGGCGCCTGGGTGGCTCAGTTGTTAAGCGTTAAGCCTTCAGCTCAGGTCATGATCCCAGGGTCCTGGGATCAAGCCCCATGTTGGGCTCCCTGCTCTGCGGGAAGCCTGCTTCTCCCTCTCCCACTCCCCCTGCTTGTGTTCCCTCTCTCGCTGTGTCTCTCTGTCAAATAAATAAAGAAAATCTTTAATAAAGTCTTTGGTGGTATTGTTTGTAATGGGGAGAAAAAGAAGTAACACACATATTCTCCAACAGGGAAATGGATAAATTGTGATACATTCGTAAAATATAATACCATAGAGCAGTGATGTGTTACATGCAGTGGTGGTATGACTAACATGCCAGAATGGATTAATCTCACAAAGCTAACATGAAGAGAAAAGGCAAGTCACAGAATACATATATAGTATGCAATGCTTAAGAACATTTACAGCTAAACAATGGATCATTTAGAGTTACAGAGAACATAAAGAAGTAAACTCCAAGGGTTCTGAGCAACCAGCAAGGTAGAGGTGTCCCGTTACCAGACTGGCCAGTGGCTGAGGATTCCAGGGATGAGAGGTCTGGAGAGACAGGTGGAGGCCAGGCCCTGGGAGGCTCACAGTCTTGCGGTGGCTGAGAGACCAGCCTCTGCCCAAAGTATACAAAGCTGTGAGATCTGGCCAATGGGTTAGGAGGGAGGGCTGTTTACTTCTGAAGTTACTCCACTTGTAGAGCATGGGGAGGTGAAGGTTTTAGGATAGAGGTCTTAACAAATCACCATCACTCCTGAGGGGAGTGATGTGGGGCTCAAGGATGCAGAAGGCTGGAATGTATTTCCATGCCTGAAATAAAGTTCATGTGACCCTTACCATGGCTGTAGCTCAATCTTACACCCCAAACCTGGGGCTGGCTCAGGAAGGAGAGTCCCAACACCCAGGGGAGGACTTGGACCATACAAATAAGGGTAAGAGGGGCGCCTGGGTGGCTCAGTTGGTTAAGCGACTGCCTTCGGCTCAGGTCGTGATCCTGGAGTCCCGGTATCGAGTCCCACATCGGGCTCCCTGCTCAGCGGGGGGTCTGCTTCTCCCTCTGACCCTCTTCCCTTCCCTTCCCTCTCGTACTCTCTGTCTCTCATTCTCTCTCAAATAGATAAATAAAATCTTTAAAAAAAAAAAAAAAAAAAACAAATAAGGGCAAGAGAATGCAGAAGAGACCTTAGGGACAAGAAAGGAAGCTGACCATTTACTAGTGGGACGAAGGATGAGTGTACGTTATGTACACTCATTAAGGGCTATGTACGTTAATGATCAAGCTATTTGAAATAATATAACTGTAGCTAATACCTAAATAGGGTTTAATATGTGCGAGGCACTGTTTAAGTTCATTTGCACACAGGGGCACCTGGGTGGCTCAGTCGTTAAGCGTCTGCCTTCAGCTCGGGTCATGATCCCAGGGTCCTGGAATCAAGCCCCGTGCTGGGCTCCCTGCTCGGTGGGAAGCCTGCTTCTCCCTCTCCCACTCCCCCTGCTTGTGTTCCCTCTCTGGCTGTCTCTCTCTGCCAAATAAATAAGATTAAAAAAAAATAAAAAGTTCATTTGCACATATTTAAACCTAACTCTTTGTTAGGGTAGGTACTCTCACCTGACAAATGAGAAAACTGATAGAATGGATAAGTAACCTAGCCCATCAGTCTTGCTCCAGAATCTTGACCACTCCCCTATACTTCCTATGTGATACTGTTAACCTAGAAAAATGCAGTTACAAATAGAAGTCCTCATATATAGTACCTGGAGACACCCATTAACAAACGAAGTTTTTGAAGTTTTTTCCAAAATAAAAATGGGCAGAAATGTATATGGAAGGGTGAAATCTAAATTACAGGAAAACATAAACAACAAAAAAAATCAAGTTGCAGGGGCGCCTGGGTGGCTCAGTTGGTTATAAGCATCGCCTTAAGCTCAGGTCATGATCTTACGATCCTGGGATCAAGTCCTGCATCAGGATCCCTGCTCAGCGGGAAGACTGCTTCTCCCTCTCCCTCTGCTTGTGTTCCCTCTCTTGCTGTGTCTCTGTCAAATAAATAAATAAAATCTTTAAAAAAAATAAAAAAGGGGCGCCTGGGTGGCTCAGTCGGTAGGGCGACTGCCTTCGGCTCAGGTCATGATCCTGGAGTCCCGGGATCGAGTCCCGCATCGGGCTCCCTGCTCGGCGGGGAGTCTGCTTCTCCCTCTGACCCTTCTCCCTCTCATGCTCTCTGTCTCTCATTCTCTCTCTCTCAAATAAATAAATAAATCTTTAAAAAAAATAAAAATAAAATAAAATAAATTAAAAAGGGCGCCTGGGTGGCTCAGTTGGTTGGGCGGCTGCCTTCGGCTCAGGTCATGATCCTGGAGTCCTGGGATCAAGTCCCACATTGGGCTCCCTGCTCAGCAGGGAGTCTGCTTCTCCCTCTGACCCTCTTCCCTCTCGTGCTTTATCTCTCAAGTAAATAAATCTTAAAAAAAAATAAAAATAAAATCTTTTTAAAAAGTCAAGTTGCAGTAGAACTACATGAACAATTATCCCATATTTATTAAGTTCAAAAAGATACAAAACAGTATATATTGTTTAGGGATATATTCAGAGTAAAACTAAGGAAGGTCAGGGAATGGTAACAGCCACAATTCAGCTGGGTAGTTTCCTCTGAGTGGGAGGGATTAAAAGGGAAAGTGAATCAAAGGCAGGTTTGCTTCAGTTACTGGTTAATGTTCTAAAGCTGGGTGACAGGTGTAGCAGACAGAAAGGAATTTGAATCCAGACTACTTTCTGACCTTAAGCTAATTATCTCACATCCTGAGCTTTCCTTTTCTTGCCCCTGAAGTGAGGTAGATAGTATCAAAGTAGCAAGGTTGAGTTTTAAGGATTCCATGAAGTGAAGCACATGAAAAGCTTAGTGCAGATCTAAGCACCGCTGGCTGGGAAGATAAAACGGGATGATCCTTGAGAGCCACACACAATTACGTGCTTAGGACCTTATATCACAAACTAGTACATTCTTAGTGGTACTAATTCAGAAATCCATGGAGGAAATAGTCCAAGTCTCCTCCTACCCTCACCCCATAGTCTCAATCCTCTCCACAAAAGTAACCTTGACTGGTAACAGACTAGTTCAGTTCTTAGGAACAAGAGCCCAAGTGAGGGATTTTAAGAATCTTAATAAAGTATTACCTACTTTAATCCATGAAGTTTTAGAGAACAAGTCCCTTCTAAACAGGGCTAATCCTAAGGTTTGGGCCAAGGACTGAAGCCCAGGGAACCCTTTACTAGGGAATAGCAATGTGAGCAGCAAACTGGACTCAGTCTTCCAGCGAGTACCATCCAGAGCAATGTCAGGAAGAAAAAAATAAAACTAGCAAAGGTGATTAAGGAAAATACAGGTTGGGAAATATCTTTCCTAATTTAAGATTTATTTAAGAGAGAGCTAGCATGTGCACAGGGGAGGGGCAGAGGGAGAGAACCTGATTCCTTACTCCATCCCACAACCCTAAGGTCACGACCTGAGCTGAAATCAAGATGTTCAAGCAACTACACCACCTAGATGCCACAATCTTTGCTAATTTCAAGTGGTGGTGGGGTGCCTGCATGGTTCGGTTGGTTAAGTGTCTGACTTTCGCTCAGGTCATGATCTTGGGGTCCTGGGATGGAGCCCTACTTAGGGCTCTCTGCTCAGCCAGGAATCTGCTTGTCTCTCACTCTGCCCCTCCCCCAGCTTGTCCTCTTTTCTCAATAAAATCTTTAAAAAAAAATGAAAGTGGTGGGGACCAAGCTGGAAATGCTCAGTAGGCAGGGGGCACCTGGGTGGCTCAGTCAGTTGGGCGTCTGCCTTCAGCTTAGGTCTCAGTCTCAGGGTCCTGGGATCACCGTGGGATCAAGCCCTGGCAGGCAGGCACCCTGCTCAGCAGGAAGTCTGCTTCTCTTTCCCTCCTGCCCCCCCGGCTCATGCTGTCACTCTATCAAAATTTTAAAAAAAAAAGTTCAGTAGGCAAATATGGAAAAAATGTAATTTTTAGAAGATGACTGAGTAGGTAGGGGCAACTGGCTGACTCAGTTGATAGAGCACGGGACTCCTGATCTCAAGGTTTAAGTTCCAGCCCCACACTGGGGGGGTAGAGATTACTTAATAAAGTGGCAAAGATTAAAAAAGACTAAAAAGTAATGAGTTAATAGCACCAAACTGGTGCCAAAAGTGTTACCACTAGGAGTAGTGATGACAGGTATAGGGAAAAAAAGGCAATCTTTTGACACTGATGTCACCGAGCATAAACTGGTACAACCTTATGGAATATACTATGCATTGTTTTACATGCTTAAATCCTTTGAAATTCTACTTTTGGAAATGTATTCTACCACACTTCAGGTGGGTGCAAGTAACAGGGAGTCAGTACTGGTATACAGCATGACTAGAAACCTAAACACCCCCCTCCCAGGAACTGGATAATTTGGAAGTCTTACAGCAACGGAAATTTGTACATGTTGCTGGAAAACCACCCTTGAAATAGGGGAAGTATGAATATGCTTTTTCCCCCAATTTTTACTGTGGTGAAATACACATAAAAGTTACCAACTTAAAAAGAAGATTTATTTACTTGGCAGAGCTAGAGAAGAGAGAGCGCAAGCAGGGGGAACCACGAGGGAGGGAGAAGCAGGCTCTCCACTGAGCAGGGAGCCTGACGCCGGGCTGGACCCCAGGACCCTGGAATCATGACCTAAGCACAAGTCAGCTGTTTAACTGAGCCACGCAGGCAACCCCATCCGAACCATTTTTAAGCACACACTTCAATGGTATCAAATATTCTGTAATACTGAGCAACCATCACCACCATTTATCTCCATAATTCTTTTTTCTTGTAAAACTGAAATTCTGTATCCAAACTCCCTATTTACCCCTTTCCCCAGCCCCTAGCAACCACCATGGGTATATGCTTTTAAAATATAGACCACCTGTTTCCACTTACTTACTCTTCAAAAGGCAAACTAAGCACCTGTGTTAGTATTTCAACGCCCTAAAAACCTTTACTACTTGTTAACATCTAGTCCCTTAAAATCCTATGGCAGACCACCTAAAATCCTTAATTCTAGTGTCAACCCGGTTTTAGCTTTTTGTATACAGTTGCAAAGAGGTATAGCCGTCAGCTGTGATGTTCATTCACAGATGGTTACCTTTCACTTCCCTAAATCTTTTTGTACCATCTTGTTTTTATGGAAACCAAACTTTTATTTTGCTTTAAAATATTTTATTGGAATCTTTTGATAAAAACAGTATTTATGTTAAATAAGTCTAATTGGTCTAAAAATACTTAAGCATCTCAAAATTTCTGGGCAGTTTCTTTCCTCCAGTAAGTTGACAGCTGCTCACACAGGTTAATGCAGGAAAACTAGATGGAAGCTCCTGGGATCTGCCCAACACCAGATGGGAGATATCCTCTGCATTAACAAAACCCTGAAATTTCATAAAAAGAACATGTATTAGAACCATGCAGGCAACTGGAATTAAAACATGAACCTGGGCGGGTAGGGAAGACATGAGTAAATCAGTGATTTTCAAAGATCCTCAGAAAAATGCTCATGGTCCAAAAAGGTGATCATTACCACTTGAGGGCTGCGAGAGAAAAGGGCACTCACCATAGTAGCCAGGGAGAAAGGACGTAGCTCTTCACTTCTCATCACAGCCTGTAGGTTCAAGTGGCAGGAGCCATTACCTAGACATCACAGACATCTCTCCACAGCATTTCTCCCAGAGGGTGAATTCCAAACTTCAGCCCTTCAGCTACCAGATCGGTGCCTCATCTGAAAGGGCACCACCCTAGCTAGGCTTCCAGAATAA